CTTCTCTTCACTTCGACCCGCAAAATTTGCAAACAGTGGAGCACGGAAACCCATTTATGCATTTCGTTGTGTCATATAACTCATTCACATTGAAGTCAGTGAAGGAAGCTATTGTGACTTCAGCATTCGTAATAAAATAACTGACGTTAGCGGGGGTAATTATCTTACTACCAGCTGTTTTTGAGATTGCAATATAGTTCAGATTCCACGCCATCGCATCAACAACAGCCGGGTAAGCTACTGCTACCAAATTACATACTCGTTGGTACCCATCTGGCGTGGAATTCTAAGTCATCCCTGTCTAATCATGATCTCGGTTATTCCGACCCGAGGTTTTTTTTTTAAATGAGAAGCCGATACCGTCACCAGTGAGACATCATCCCACTTGTTCTTACCTGTTCCAATAGGTAAGCGATAGCGTCGCCTGATGTTGAATGGTGCTCGTCTGTACATCGCCATAAACGCCTTGCCGTGGTGGGGAGGTTTAGGGATGGACAAAATAACGAGCTACGCGCTTTTGTGGGGATCTTATCCAAATAACTTAGTTATTGGTGATATATAAAAGCTAGTGGACATCATATTTTCAGTACTTCTGGTTTCGAACGCGCGGTATCATCACAGATATTATACAATAATTTTATGAAATACTATATGTGATGATTCTTAGAAACGACCTCTCAACCATGAGATTATTCCAAAAGAGCAAACAAGGCCTTGTACTCCCTTCAAATTGAGGGTGTTTAGTTGAGGTGGGATTTTTCATTGTACACGTAAGATTTTATATAATTTTGATTTATATCCATTGGTATCCCTTCTACGAATTCGATTCCATTGATGAGGCATTCCAGGTGCCACTAAATTTTGCTGCAAGCACAAAGTGATCGGGTGACCCGAAACGTTTTTCACCACTAATTCACCGCTCATATCGCGAACGCATTATTAGGGGCACTGAATGGTCTGTGATACTGAATCAATAAGGGAGCTAGTCAGCACTGGCAGCAAGTCCCGAACACCGCGACTGTGACCATTGTGCAAACAACGCTTTTGTTAACCGTTTAACGGAGGGGATGAGAAGACGCATCAGCATCACGGACGGTGCAACTGTTCCGACTGTAGTTCTTGTGTGGCGCGTTAGTTTGCGTGTCCGGACAAAAAGTCGACTCGACTCCGCTTGAGTTTGAAGCGCGTGCCGCGTTCGGCGGGCAGCTTATCTTAGATAATTGTTCAGAACGTTTAATTTGTCGGAATGACATTTGGCACTGGTAACACAGAATTGTCACAGATATTATTCCAGGCCAAGGTCAAATTTTTCCAAGCCAAGGTCGTTATATCCATTCATTTTTTTACATGTTATCAGCCGCTCACTGGTAGATCTCTGGCTCTCAGAAAGGCTCATCCTATCTTGGCCCAATTGTAATTGCAGCTTACGCCACTGACACCGAGTACGGTCTCACACTTGGCATCTAATCATCCAAGTCAAAAGAAAAAGGATTATACGCCCTCACACTTGCTCAGATCACGGTAATAGCAGACTGTGCGTTTTTAAGATTTCCCTACTCATTGACACAGCGTGCCTTGAGTCTTCCACTCAAGATTTCACCTATGAGCTCAAGGCCTTCTTGCTCATAGCGAGGGTAAATTTTACACATTAGGGTCTTTTGTATAATAGGGGGAGCAAGTTCGCTATTTACTCCGTCACTGTGAAGCTATGTCATTATTTGTCACCAGTCAAGCGACGGGACTTGTCACCAAGGCAACGGCCTATGATTTGCGAGCTATGAAAGCGGGATTTTCCGTATGGTTTTAAGTTTGTCTCGAATGCGCCATTAATTGTTTCACGTACTGATCGTTTCCGTCCCATTGATATATATATATATATATATATATATATATATATATATATATATAATTATTTCACTGAAAGAGTTGCGTTCGCACCGGTAAAGCACCTACCGCCATCACTACTATGGATCATTGGAAGCCGGAAGTGAACTTTCCATAGCTGCCAGTGTCCATAGCGTGGCCGATGTGCCTGCAGGCGTGTTTTTTGAAAACCGAACAGATAAGACACACTTCCTTTAAGCGGGGGAGGAACGCGGACGGGCATCTTTATTCGGTTCTTCCCTTGTATCGCCACAGGTCTGAAGTGCAGTCTAATGCCGCGCCGTAAACATAGCTATAATTTAGTGTGGGCAGGGCTGTGATGTAGCCCCTCTCCGTGCAAGCAAGGCCTCCTCCGCGATACGCACCCCAGTTCCCACACCTCTGTACTGCGGCGCCCGGCGTGTCGGCCTGGCCAGTGTCCTGCGTCCACCACTCGTGGCCAGCATTGCCGTAAGTTGATCTGGAGGAAACCGAATTGATTTTGAAACGTCCGGATCGGACTTACTTCGAAACCGAATTGATTTCGGAACGTCCTGATCGAATGTACTTCGAAACCGAATTGATTTTGAAACGTCCGGATCGAACTTGCTTCAAAACCGAATTGATTTTGGAACGTCCGGATCGAACTTACTTTTAAACCGAATTGATTTCGGAACGTCCAGATCGAACTCACTTCGAAATGAATTGCAGCCCGCTGCGAAGACCAAGCGCGAGACGTCCCTGCGGTACTGCGGCTCGAGCGCTGGTTTTGGCACACCGTGGCGCATCGAGTTACGGACGCGGTGGTTCGGAAGCTCACCACCAAACGGGTTCGATTCCCGTCCAGGGCTACTTCTTCCCAGCAATGGCGTGGGCAAGCTGTTCCACTGCACGGTCGCTTTGCAACGCGTGTTGAAAATTCCAGCGCTATTTGGCAAACAGGCTGGGGCAAAAATATACCGCAGGTGGGACGGCTTGTGTAGTGTATTCCGCATACTCCAGTATGTAACAACCTATGCGTGGTGAGCACTTTACCCATACGCTACCCGTGGAAGAACTGACGCGACGAAGTCCATGACGCATGTATTCAACTATTCTTTAAAAGTGATGCATAGTAACACGTTTTCCGACCGATTGATGGGGGATGTTTAAGGCTGCGGATTGAAAAATACCGAAGGCTGACCTTAGTTGCGCCATTCCGCATCCTTCGAGTTCTTGGCGCTTGGACATTTATCATTTTTTGGCCATTCGAAGAGTGGCTAGAATCGTGTACGAATGTTATTGTTATTATATGAATGTTAATGTAACGAATGTTATTAACCTTTTGCCGCCGTTGGCACGTGAGACGGGAGATTGAAAAGAATGGATTAGCCCTTCCTATCACAGCCTCCGGTAAAATCTTACAAAACACGTCCTCCGGTGAGGTTTCCTGATGCGGCTCCTGCACGGAAGCTGGCAGCAACTGGGAAATGATCGTCCTACCGGAGGGTTAGTGCTGCACCAGCCGGCGTCCGAGGCGGGGGATTCACGGGGAAGGCCTGATATTGATCGCCCTACCGGAGGGTTAGTGCGGTACCAGCCGGCGTCCGAGGCGGGGATTCACGGGGAAGGCCTGATGTTGATCGCCCTACCGGAGGGTTAGTGCTGTACCAGCCGGCGTCCAAGGCGGGGGATTCACGGGGAAGGCTTGATATTGATCGTCCTACTGGAGGGTTAGTGCTGTACCAGCCGGCGCCCGAGGCGGGGGATTCACGGGGAAGGGCTGATATTGATCGTCCTACCGGAGGGTTAGTGCTGTACCAGCCGGCGTCCGAGACGGCGGATACACGGGGAAGGCCTGATATTGAATAGATCCGTTGGTTCGGTATCAAAAGCCACCGGTAAGACCTCGAGTCATACAACTAAAGCAGCCCTCTGATTCGCCGAGCCTGAACGACCGGGATAGCCCCGGCGTGCACACAGGCGCCACCTGGCGAACATGGTGGTAAGCGTGTGGTGGCGACTGTCTTGCGAGGATGCGGGAAAAAATGAAGGTTCTGCCTCGTGTGTGGACGTATGATTGTGTGCATCTAACAAGAAAAGCCGCGGCGAGCAACAGAAATGTTTTGAAAAGCGCGACGAATGGTAATAGCCACATAGTCAAGAGTCTTTCTTGCGCCCAAGTGAGAGTCACTTATTTGGGCGTCAGTGCCTGGACGAAATCGAAGCTGCTAGGATCACCAGCAGCTGACATGACTCGCGGGCAGTATTTCGTCACCAGCGTGTGCAGGTCATCAGCGTTTGCAGCACCATGGCCCTCGGTGCACGCGGTGAGAAGGAATATCACTGTCCCGGGGCTTCTCCCCCGTTTGCGTCGATCTACGGTGCCCAAAGCTCACATGCGCTCCGAAGAGACAAAAACCCCTGTGGCCCTCGAAAAAATAATACTTCTGTGCAAAGTCGACTTAATTACATCTGCACAGCGGTCTTAAGACACTTTTTAGGGCGTAACGTTATACGCCTTAACAAAATATCCAGGATTCTTTTGACACCATGGTGAATGCCAGTTTGACTTCCCACCGAAACTCTTGGTGCGATTTGGATGCCGCTTAAATGGGATATGGTATTTGCTTTACGCCTTTCTCGAGACGAGGCCCGCTTTCCGCATTGTGGAGGCTTAAATTTAATCGAGTCGCACATGCCCTTGATACACACCAAAACTTTAACTTAGAGATCTATTTTAGACACGGAATTATCGAACATTCTAAACGATGAAGCAAATCAAGAAAAACTTTATCATAGGCTAGAAACAAGTGGGTGCAATACAGGGTACTGCCGACAACGCCATCTGTTGCCAAAAACGCATCCAGAACGCAGCACCCAACGTGAAATAAACCTAAGTGCATTGCTCGAAACAATTTGTCGCACCGCAATAGAAGTGATTGCGATTTGTAAAGTGATTGTGATTGTGAAGAGACATCCTTGGTATGCATGTCGCAATATGTGGTTTGTATCTTCTCAGGTCGACACCTCTTTTGGAATCACAAATCACTCACAAATCGGAATAACCAATCACTCACAATCACTAATCAGGTTTCGAGTCAGACCAACTGAGGCCCAAGCAGATCCAGTTCACACCTAGCGCACAGCAGTCGGGCTCACCTGAGCCGGTCCAGCGGGTCAGGTGCACCCAGGTCAGGTCAGCAAAGCACCCGACCTCGTGAGAACCATCACATGACGGCAGGTCCCGTCAGGCGGAACAGCAGACCTTATCGGGACCTGTGCAGCTGCAAGCCTTACCAGACCAGCGTAGTGACCGGTCCCGTTAGAGCCAGCGTAGCGACCGCCCCCGTTAGAGACAGCGCAGTGACCGGCCTTGTCAGAGCCAGCGCAGCGACCGGTCCCCTTAGAGCAAGCGCAGCGACCGGTCCCGTTAGAGCCAGTACAGCGACCGGTCCCGTTAGAGCCAGCGCAGCGACCGGCCCCGTTAGAGCCAGCGCAGCGACCGCTCCCGTTAGAGCCAGCGAAGCGACCGGCCCCGTTAGAGCCAGCGCAGCGACCGGCGCCGTTAGAGCCAGCGCAGCGACCGGCCCCGTTAGAGCCAGCGCAGCTCCCTATCTCGCTGGAACCGGCGTAACCCCAAACGCCCACCTCAAACCTCGGGGCGGTCCTTGTCGCCACAGCCACGGCCGGTGGTCGGCCTCGCTAGAATCAGTGCATGCAGCTCAACTTTTTAAGTCCGCGTATGGGCAGAATTCGCTAAAGCAGACAGCCTCTTATCTTAATAAGCGCAATGACCGATTCGCGCTTGTGATTTCTGATTGATGTCAGTGGCAAAAATAGCTCATTTGTCGGAATTTAATGGGGCTTTCGGCATGACTTTTAAATGCCTGTCAGAGATAACTGTTCCTTCTAGCTGTTAAATGGTTTCTATGACTCCATGTTTACCCTTGAGTGGCGTTGTAAAACTCTCGCGTAAGAGTTATTGGGGTGGAATAAGACATTCCAATGGGCATTTTGAGTGGTCGGAAATTAAAGCCCAGAGGCGTCTGGTTCAAATGGATGATGCGGCTCGTTCCCGAGTGAACATCGATGACAGGGTTATAGTTGTTAAACGATCTCTTCATTATGCTGCGTCTGGGATCATGGTGGCCCAAGGAACGGGCCGACCACTTGAAAACGCCCTGCAAAGTAGCCTTTTCTCAGTGCCCGACTGGCCACCGGTGGCGCTGAAGCCGGGTTGCTCTGCTGTTACGCGATGCAGTACATGATGCAGTACATGATGCAGTACGTGATGCCGTACACGATGCAGTTACACAATGCATCGCCGACGCCATGCGGATTTGTGGGAGAGCCTTGAAGGGCCGTAGGTATGCTTCGCCATTGCTTTATCCGTCAAACCATACATTCATCCGGACGATTGCAAACTGCTGCCGCTAGTGCAGTGTTTCCAACCGTGTTGCTCGTCCAAGGCTAGGGAAGATCTAGAAGATGTACTTTTTGCCAATCTGGACCATCTTGCTCTGTGTAATGTTCACACGCCAAAGCGCTCGCATGTTCAGGATGCTCACATGTCAGTAAGGGAGGCTTTATTCATAAATAACGCGGCCAAAATGTATCAAACAAGGAACACGATTGCAAGCATAAACCTAGGTCACTTTCCGGGAACATGAGCTCTAATGACCATAGCCGCGGCCGTAGCCGAGGCCGCGGCCGAGGCCGCGGCCGTGGCCGACGCCGACGACGACGGCCTTGCCATACCCGTAGCCATGTCCGTAGCCATTTCCGTAGCCATGTCCGTAGCCTCCATAGCTGTTGCCGTGGCTGCTGCTCTGGGCGTAGCCGTAGCCGCCATGGCCGTAATTGTTGCCATAGCCGTAGCCGCCGTAGCCTCCATGGCCGTAGCCGCCGTATCCACCGCCCAGGTTCACATTACCGTGGCCGTAACCGTTGCCGTAGGATCCACGGCCATATCCTCCCAAGCCGTATCCTCCACGGCCATAGCCGCCAATGCCGCCGTAGCCGTAGCCGTGGCCGTAGCCGCCGTAGCTGTTGCCGTGGCTTTTGCTCAGGGCGTATCCGCCGTGGTTGTAGGAGGCGGTGACGGCCATCAGGAGGGCGGCCAGGCAGACAAACTGTGGACCAGAGCACGGTCAGAGCACGGTCAGAGCATGGCCAGAGCACGGCCAGAGCACGGTCAGAGCGCGGCCAGAGCATGGCCTGAACACGGCCAGAGCACGGCCAGAACACGGCCAGAGCCCGGTCAGAGCGCGGCCAGAACATGGCAGAACATGGCCAGAACACGGCCAGAGCACGGCTATAGCACGGCCAGAACACGGCCAGAGCACGGTTAGGACATGGCCAGAGCACAGTTAGGGCATGGGCAGAGCACGCTATGAGCTTCTGGATCAGAAAAAGTATCGACAAAGGCGGGAAACGGTCCCGCAAGGTTACCACCGGTAAGACGCAGTGGACTGGTAGGCATGATGCAGTGGATGACCGACTGGTATAACGCGGTGGATGAAATATGTCCGGCCATTGTCGGCGGCAAGGTAGGAGCCTTCATCCAGCCTTGCTCTCAAAGCCAAATGTGCGTGTCGTATAGAACGCCGCTTCTTACACAACCGGGAGATTTCTTTTTGACCGGTTCTGGTCACCAGGGACCAGGCAAAGTGACCGGATTGTGCGTTCAGCAATGCCACTTCGCTTTTGCTGCAAGCGTCCATGGTGTGTGGCTTGGACCAGCGTTCATTCGCCCGCCTGTGAGAGCGATCTCTGGGCAAAAGGCGAGCGGCGGTCCTCGTCGCGGGTCCCTTGCCCACTGCAGCCGCCGCCGCCAGCTGCTGCGGGTCAGCCGTGGCCGGGGGGCGCCGGCCAGCTGCGGTCACCGTCGCCGTCTCCTCACCGTCAGCTGATGCATGTTGCTGCTGTGTGGGTGCTGGTGCTGGTGGAGCAGTCGACTGATCTGTGCCCTGTGTCGCGGTCAGCCGGCTTTTATACGCGGTAAAAGTGCGCCGGGCTCCGCGACTGACCGCGCCCGGCCCCGTGGCAGCGACCGGCCGCCCGGGCCGGGAGGGGAGGGGGCCGTCCGGGTCGGTCGCCGTCGACCCCGGGCGGCCGGACCGACCCGGGCACGGGAGCGGTGCTGGTGACTGGCGACGACGCGGCTGGTCACCAGTCGGCTCTGTTGCCGACTCCAGTGGCCACCCTGAGCGGTCGATGCTGCTCAGGCCATTTGCAGATCACCAGCCTGATGCGCTGCCATGTGCGTCACGTGCTCCTGGCCTGTACAGGCTCCGTGTTTGAGGCGGCCGCAGTATCGTAGTTTGGTTTGCTCGTTCGCTGCCGATATATGCGTCTCATTCACGTGCGTTTGAACGTGCTCAGAGTCTGCAGCGCCTGCACGGCGACGTTGCCGCCCTCGGAGGCGCCGTTCAGGCGCCGCAGGGCCGGGGTCGGGCCTGGCCCACTGCAGCGGAGCTGGGGCTCCTTGTCGCCGCCGATGCGGGGCCTCAGTGTTCTGATGACGGCTGAGTCGAATGAACAGTTTGCATGTTCATGAGACACTTACGGATACGGGCGTCACGTCAGGCGTGCCTGTAATTCTATTCTGGAAGAGGTGGTAAAAATGCAGCTTTTGTCGGGCTGTGAAATGTTGGATTTGATCATCTAGCGTGACTTTGAGCGAGTCTGCGTAATTGACGGCTGAGGTGATTTACTTGTCATTCCCGGGATAGGCCGTCGGACTCTGTCAACCGGTGTAATGAAATCCGGGCGTAAAGCGAAGACATGCGTCTTTATTTTATGGACAGCATATATGCCATCCCTGGTAGCCCGACATTTCCTCCAAGCACCGCGAAGGGACTGAAAGACGTTTCCAAACGCATGTTATCCTGCCTGGTTGGTGTTTGCGCCCTCCAGACTGCCCCTTAGCTGCAGGAGGACGCACTGAGGGCTGGCATAGGCTGTAGCTGACTGGCCACTTCAGTTCCCGTCTTCCTACGAAATATGCTGTTTAGTGCGTAGACGGCACCCCATGTAGCGCAGGTGTGGAAAGTCCCACACGATTTTGAAAGTTGGTGTGGAAAGCTCCACACCATGCTGAAAGTTGGTGTGGAATGTCCAGAACTCCACACCAACGTATTTGTAGTTATACACCTCCCCCTCCCCCCGCCCCCCATGTTTGAGTTGTCCATAAAGCTCCTTCATTCATCACACTGAAGGGCGTCGGACAATAGTTTGATGCACCGATTTTGAAGGAAATCCTAGACTGTCCCGAGGACATGATGTATTCGGTCGTCTGTAACTTCCGCCTAGGCGAGACAGATTGTGTCTGGTGAAGGAGAGCTTTCACGTGTCATGTCACATGACCAAGCCGTTCTTATCTTAGGAAGATATTGGCCGGCAAAGGGAATTTGCCAGTCATTGCCGCGGTGCAGAATCTGGGCTGGGTGAAATCTAGTCCTAATGTGGGTTTGCTTCCCCTGTACTGTTCCACTCGCGTCGAACCGGAGCGCTGAAGCGCGCTCCATGACCACGCAGGAATGCCACCGCCACCTGGGAGCTGATCCCAGGTGATCCACGCCGTGTGACGAGAAGTCTTAGCACTATGGATCTCTTGGCGCCCAATCAGTCAAACAAACAAGCCCTCAGAAGTGATCTCTGGTGTCTGTCGTGCGGCGATCGATGACTTTCATCGGCCGCAGCGAGTAAATGAATGACAAACGGCCGGTATCAATGGGGGCCGCACGCGGCGGCTGCGTGGCCCGTTCCTGCCCTGTGCGCCCCCTCCCCCTCCCTCCCCCTCCCTTGCGGCCGCTGACCCGGTCTGGCGTTGAGTTGGCAACCTGGCGGCCGGTTCTTGTCGGCTCCGCGCCGTTTTTGTCGCCTGTCAAGGTGCGGTGGGGAAACTGAATACTGTCCACCCGTCCCCGGTCTGGCAACGCGATGCAGCCAGACCTGGCAACACGGTCGCTGGCAGACTTGTATTCGACTCACATTGTTAAGTAGGCCCAGGACTGACTCACAGATTCAGTTAACGATAAATTTGATTCAGCTAACGGCTCATGGTCATTCCATTTTTTTTAAAAATCGACTCGCTTAAGGCTTATTAGCTTGCATTGAGTCATTTGACCTATGACTCACACAGCTTGGAACTAAAAGATTCGATTTAAATCTGGTTCATTTATATATATATATATATATATATATATATATATATATATATATATATATAAATTAGTGCATTGCTTTGATAATTGGGAAAAATATGGCCATTCCTTTGATCTCATTTGTAGCAGCCAATCTTTTCCTCATTTAAGGGTAGGACACAGGAATGTAGGATGTCTGTGCCATGCAATATCATCTAGTTCCTAGCTGAGATTTGATCAAATTTTCGTCAGGACGAACGATATTGTGTCTGCTGCTTAGAAATTACAATTGCAAGCTTCGTGCTGATTTTGCAAAAAGCTTTATAACTAATGCTGGACGCTGTTCTTTATAACTAATGCTGGATGTTGTGCTTTATAACTAATGCTGGGTACTGTTCTTTATAACTAATGCTGGATGCTGTTCTTTATAAGACACTGCAATGGTCTGTTAATTTGTATGGAGTGTGCTGTGTTTCCCCATGTTACCATCTTCCTTTGGGCTATGTGACTCGCTGACAACATTGTTAGTAACCATTGGCTCATGATTCAGCTCATGAAATTTACAAAGAATGTGATTCAGCTCATGACTCTAAGCGACAGTTTTTTTCTGGCGAATCGCTTCGGCTCACGACTCATCCCAAAATGATGGACTCATGGGCCGATTCATGATTCGGCTCGAGTCGAACACAGGGTTGGTCACAAGGCCTGGCAGCAGGTCTGGCAACACGGTCCTCAGATCTGGCAACACCGTCCCCAGATCTGCTAACTTTGCCCTGCGTGAAATGGTACATTCGCGGTCTCCTTCGCTCCGCTTTTTCCACTCCATGGAACGCACGCTACGCAGCATGCCCTTCATCGTTTGAAGATCATGAACAGCGTTTTGTTAAGCTGCTGTTGCGCGCGGCATTGGCTTTAGATCATGGTTCCCGTTCTGAAATTAGGGACTATGGGACTATGGGACTATGGGAGCGCTCTATGCCGGGCTGGTATCTAGGGCTGAAAGGGAACTTTGGGTTCAAATCTACGTAGAAAACAGCGATACAATGAAGCCTCTACTTATATTTACGGATATAATTGAAGTCATTTACTGCCATGGAACCACCAGGATTTGTCTTCAAAACCCTCCATTTCGATTTACAATATACACCATTTATTAATCTCGTATCTTTCGTTTCTTGGCTATGGCAGCTGCAACTTTTTAGAACCACTTTTTAGTCATCCTGCGTGATAAACAGTTTTCAAAGCTCAATGCAGTTGGTACATATCAATGCTTTCCTCGCAGGACCTTTGTCAGTGCTAACGCTTTTGGCCAGGCGCATGTGCGCAACGTTGCACAATATGCATCAATCGCTTATGACTATAACGGCCCGTCTATTTTGGATCAAGCGTGCGGGAAGGAGGAGCAGTATACTGACACACGCGTGCACGAATTTGCATTAAGTTACTCGCTGCACAAAAAAACTATAAATATACTTGCTACGCAAACTGTTGTGTTTCGGCAACTGATTTTTGAACAAGGTTCCTACCTTGAGAGAAGACCTTCCCCCTAGCATCCCCTTTCGACCAGAAAAACATTCCTTTCTGAGGATTAGGTAAATGCCGTTCGCCTGCTTCCCTCTAGAACGGAATCCTGCTTTAGATGGCGTCTGATGTGGTGCCGTATTTCGCCAACCGGCTGAGTTTCCGCTCTTGCATCAGATGACTGACTCCATGAGCCGGTGCTTCTCATCTCGCAGTCTGTTTTGAGCTTTCCCGACGACCCAGCTATCCATGACAGATTTTGCCACCCGGCCGAAAGGCGTTGCCTCACCCGCGTTCAGTGGGCGACCGGCGCGCGCTGCGCGCCGCACGAGCCGAGCAACCGCTGCAGCTGTGCGCGGAGCAGGGCCGGCTACGCCGCGAGCGCGCGCAGCGAGCCGCCGCCGCCGCCGCCGCCGCCGCCGCCGCGCGGTCTGCCGGTGTTGCGCGGCGCGTGGAGCGCTCCCCGCGGTGGAGGCAGAAGCGCGCGCCGCGAGCCGCCGCCGCCGCCGCCGCCGCCGCCGCCGCGCCGTCTGCCGGTGCTTCACGGCGCCGCGGGTGCTCCCGCGGTGGGGGCAGCGGCGCTCACTCTCAGCGGCGCCGGGCGGCCGCCAGCCCGCACCGGCGGCCGCCCGGCGCCGCTGACCCGACTCAGGGGCGTGGCCGCCCCGATGACCCTCGGTCGGCCGGTTTTTGCCGGGGGTCGGCCGCCGCGCTGGCTGCGGGGCCGCCGCCGCCCGGCCACGGCCGGCGGCGCGTGCGCCCCCGGTCACGGTGACCTCCGTCGATGCCGACCGGCAGCCGGATGCGGCCCGAGGCTGCGTCCAGATACCAAGCGAGGAACTTCGTGGCCGTTTTGTGCGTGTTTTGTACGGTATGCCTCGCCGTGGCAGCATTGGACTGGGTATGAATCTGTGGAACAGTATAGATCCAGGGTATGAATCTGTGGAACAGTATAGATCCAGGGTATGAATCTGTGGAACAGTATAGATCCTGGGTATGAATCTGTGCAACAGTATAGATCCAGGGTATGAATCTGTGGAACAGTATAGATCCAGGGTATGAATCTGTGGAACAGTATAGATCCTGGGTATGAATCTGTGCAACAGTATAGATCCAGGGTATGAATCTGTGCAACAGTATAGATCCAGGGTATGAATCTGTGGAACAGTATAGATCCAGGGTATGAATCTGTGGAACAGTATAGATCCAGGGTATGAATCTGTGGAACAGTATAGATCCAGGGTATGAATCTGTGCAACAGTATAGATCCAGGGTATGAATCTGTGGAACAGTATAGATCCTGGGTATGAATCTGTGGAACAGTATAGATCCAGGATATGAATCTGTGGAACAGTATAGATCCAGGGTATGAATCTGTGGAACAGTATAGATCCTGGGTATGAATCTGTGCAACACTATAGATCCAGGGTATGAATCTGTGCAACAGTATAGATCCAGGGTATGAATCTGTGGAACAGTATAGATCCAGGGTATGAATCTGTGGAACAGTATAGATCCTGGGTATGAATCTGTGCAACAGTATAGATCCAGGGTATGAATCTGTGCAACAGTATAGATCCAGGGTATGAATCTGTGGAACAGTATAGATCCAGGGTATGAATCTGTGGAACAGTATAGATCCTGGGTATGAATCTGTGCAACAGTATAGATCCAGGGTATGAATCTGTGCAACAGTATAGATCCAGGGTATGAATCTGTGCAACAGTATAGATCCAGGGTATGAATCTGTGCAACAGTATAGATCCTGGGTATGAATCTGTGGAACAGTATAGATCCTGGGTATGAATCTGTGCAACAGTATAGATCCTGGGTATGAATCTGTGCAACAGTATAGATCCAGGGTATGAATCTGTGCAACAGTATAGATCCAGGGTATGAATCTGTGGAACAGTATAGATCCAGGGTATGAATCTGTGGAACAGTATAGATCCTGGGTATGAATCTGTGCAACAGTATAGATCCAGGGTATGAATCTGTGCAACAGTATAGATCCAGGGTATGAATCTGTGGAACAGTATAGATCCTGGGTATGAATCTGTGCAACAGTATAGATCCAGGGTATGAATCTGTGGAACAGTATAGATCCTGGGTATGAATCTGTGCAACAGTATAGATCCAGGGTATGAATCTGTGGAACAGTATAGATCCTGGGTATGAATCTGTGCAACAGTATAGATCCAGGGTATGAATCTGTGGAACAGTATAGATCCAGGGTATGAATCTGTGGAACAGTATAGATCCTGGGTATGAATCTGTGCAACAGTATAGATCCAGGGTATGAATCTGTGGAACAGTATAGATCCTGGGTATGAATCTGTGCAACAGTATAGATCCAGGGTATGAATCTGTGGAACAGTATAGATCCAGGGTATGAATCTGTGCAACAGTATAGATCCTGGGTATGAATCTGTGCAACAGTATAGATCCAGGGTATGAATCTGTGGAACAGTATAGATCCAGGGTATGAATCTGTGGAACAGTATAGATCCAGGGTATGAATCTGTGGAACAGTATAGATCCTGGGTATGAATCTGTGGAACAGTATAGATCCAGGGTATGAATCTGTGCAACAGTATAGATCCTGGGTATGAATCTGTGCAACAGTATAGATCCAGGGTATGAATCTGGTGAACAGTATAGATCCAGGGCGAAGCAGTCTGTGTGATAGTCACTTCCCGCAGGTAAGCGATGGCAGTTCGAACAAATCCGAATGGGATTTACTACCCGGGCTCCAAACTTCTGCTCTTGTGCGCGCGCGATGATGTGGTTGTTATTCGTGTAGCGCTTATGTTCAGTGCTTATCTTCCTTTGGGTCAGTGTCGCTCGAGTGTGGTGTCAAAAAAGGCGTTTGGACGTTCATCTTGTTCTTTGATGGCTTTGCACCAACCGAAGCCTACCACTTGACCGCCCAACAGTCTTCCTTCCGCTGCAACGTGATATCCATCATGGAGATCTTGCTGCACATTCCTCGAGTCTGACGGCCACCCAGCAATTTTTCGTTTTTTCAGGAATTAAAATGAATTTAATCAATTTCAGCAGCAAGTTTTGTCATCCCCGAGGTGTGCTGCCTGCTGTTTGTCTCCGAGGTCTGCTCCCTCCGAATCAACGCATTCCCCATCTAAGAGCTGCTACACCCAGGCTCTGGCGCTGGCGTGCACGCCGTCGCCTGTGTCCATTCTACGGCCACAAGAGCTTCCTCCTGCCCATTACCCGCCTCCGGCTCCACCTCTCTCCGCAGCAGCGTGTCGCCTTTGCCGACTGTCCCCTTAGACCCGTCTTGCTCATTTGTCGGATCTGTCTCCTCCATCTGTCCCCTTAAAGGGTGTGTGTCCTGTGTCCCCTTAAAAGGGCACAGATGGAGGGAGATCTGTCCCCTTAGAGGGTGTGGATGGACCATGTGCGAGATGGTGATTCAGTATGTACGAGGGCTCGCTGCCTTTCCTTTACCCCTGACACTTCCTCCCTCCGCAGTAACGTGTTCTCCATCTACGAGAACCTGCCAGACCCGTCGCTAGGTCGGATGAACACGGTGGTGGCCGGAGCGATCAACCTCTGCAGCTCCGTCTACATCCTGGTCGGCTTCTTCGGCTACGTCGCCCTCCACGACGTCCCGTTCGGCGGTCAGTGATGACGTCACATTCTGCGACCGGTGGGGGAGTCGGGTTAGGTGATCTGTGATGGATTGACGCTTGGAAGTTGGTGATTGCATAATTTTCGGCAGGACGTGACCAAAGTTATGTGTAACGATGTCAGAGGAGTCCTGCTTTAAATGGATACTGCCAGCCCGTTTTGGTAACGTAAGTGGAACAATTAATGCGTCACTTATAGTTGCGCAAGATCCGTTTTCACGAATGCTTGTTGAATGGAATGATGTACAATATTTTGGAGTGTTTCGGGACATCACGGGTCAATATGGACGTTGCTCCGAGTGGTTCCAGTGGGGCTTTTCCGGTTCCAACACCCGTTTCTTTTCCGGTTCCAACACCCGTTCTTTTCCCGGTTCCAACACCCGTCCCTTTCCCGGTTACAACACCCGTTCCTTTCCCGGTTGCAACACCCGTTCCTTTCCCGGTTCCAACACCCGTTCCTTTCCCGGTTCCAACAACCGTTCCTTTCCCGGTTCCAACACCCGTTCCTTTCCCGGTTCCAACACCCGTCCTTGTTCTGGAACTGAACCTGATTGGGATAGGGCACTCTTCACGTAAGCATTGATTGAAGACCCCTATATCTCCTTTTTGCGTTTCAGCTCCTCGAAGCGTTTTCCAATCTGCTCAAATTTTATTAATTTTGCATTTTAATTTTTAGTTTTAAAAAATTTACCCAAAAGGTTTCAGTGATGATGACCATCATCATCGTCTGTTTTAGTGATGATGGCCATTCTTTCATCCATCATGTTGTAAACATCGTGCGCCCTCGCACGAATGACGAGCTCCTCGCGTGACACTGCCGAGCGCTGGAGAACCGGTAACCGGTGTCTGCCGCAGGCAACATCCTGGTCCACCTGATGCCGTCACCGGTCTCGCGCTGGATCAACATCGGCTTCGTCATGTCCATCGCGCTGGGCTTCCCGCTGATCGTCTACCCGTGTCGGACCAGCGTCAACTCGCTGCTGTTTAGACGGGTCAGTTGTGCCGCGTTCAGAGCGCTGAGGACGTTCGTTGCGGACGTTTATGATCGGCAGGACGTGTTGATGAACGGAAGTCAGGTGAGCGCACGCTGGATGCGTAAGACGCAATGCGATTCACTTCAGGGGATGATGGTGGTAGCGGTTGGATCTGTAGTTCGTTCCGGATGTCCCTATTGACGGATAGGTGGCTGTTTGGCGCCCAAGTCAGTGTGCGACTCAGGCTGGATTTGTGAGTCAAGATGAGCTCAGCATGCAAACTGGACACGCAACCAAGACTGGACTGTGATGCGGATTAGGTTTGTGGCCGAGGCTGGAGTGGTGAGCCGGGTGGGTCCGGTGGCCCAAGCTGGAATTTGACCCAGACTGGGCTCTTGACCCGACAATGGCACTTTGACTCCTGGACAGGTGACCCGTACAGAATTGTGACCCAAACTGGACATTTGATCCAGGGGCTGAAATCGTGACCCATGCTTGGCTCGTGACCCAAGCCGGTGTTTCTGTCCAAGCTGCATCTGCAACTTTGGAGCTGCGATAATGACTCAGACCAGACGAGAACAAGGCCAGACGAGACAGGATGCCGCGGACTGGACCTAAAGCTCAGACCGGTCGCAGTGACCCGTCCAGGGTGCGCTGTGGAGAGACCGCTGATTCCGCCCGCTCTTCCAGCCGGGGTCGAGCCTGGAGCTGCCGCAGAACTACATCCCCGAAACGCGCTTCAAGTGCATCACCTTCTGCATCTTGGCGACCGCCATGTGCATCGGCATCGTCATACCCAGCATAGGTAGGTGGTGGTACGCCCGCTGCTGCCGCTGACAGCCGGGGGGTGTCTTTTGATTGCGGTGATGCTGTCTTTTGCTGCAGCAGGGCTCCGAGAATGGAGGATTGCAGTCATCGTTCGACAACCTGACAACGACAGATGAGGACATTCAAAGTGGTCATGAGGTATTTGCCGAAGTAACGTGCAGTTCTCTTCCCCGTATGCTGTTCGCTCTACTCTGAGCACGCTCCAGTAGGTCTTGTCCAAGCATCCAAGTTGTGGTTGCGGGTTTGCGAACGTCGAAGATAAAGATACCGATACTTTTGCAGAGGTTGTTCTGGGTCTGCTGGGCTCCACCATGGGCACCGCCATAGCCATCCTCTTCCCATCGGTGATGTTCATCAAGAACACCTCCAGGAGCAACCTGGAGAAAATGGCGGCGCAGGTGAGGCGCCCATCGGGTGACGGACTCAGCGGGGGGTTCTGCCGAGACGGGTGCGCAATGTATTTTACAGCTAGCTTTCATCTTCACGAAATCTATATGGCACGTCCAATATATCGCCTCCACCCTCACCGGGCGCATTGCTAAGGTCCAGACGCAGTCTGTTCTGAAACTCACATAGATAATACAGTAGTATTAGCCTTATTTCTCGGAGAAAACCAGGAGAATGGAGATATAGTTGGGTTGATATTTCGGCAACATGCCTTTATCGAAACAGCAGCAGAAGTCTATCTAGTCTATCTAGTCTTCTGCTATTGTTTCGATAAAGGCATGTTGCCAAAATACCAACCCAACTCTATCCCCATTCTCCTGGTTTTCTCCGAGGAATAAGGCTCATGCCACTGTCTTATCTATGTGAATAAAGTTTCTCGCCAATGCACTGAACAACTTGTTCTAAAGCTTACCATCGGTGCAGCATGCATACATATCCGTGCAGCATAGCGTTCACGTTAGAAATGGGTTGGCATCGCCTGTCGCGTGTCATGGCCGTTGCCAACGTGCCGCGCTTGTGCTGCCTGTATTCCGCCCAGCGCCGGTGCGTCAACGCATGCTGTAAGCCACCCCAGAGCTGACATTCCGGTTCAGACGACGTTGAGCGGCGTCGCGACGTGCGACGAGCGACGTGCGACGTGCGACGAGCAATGAGCGATGAGCGACGCCTCACGCCGTCCCTGAACCTGCCGTCGCAGGTGACGTTCGTGCTCGGCATCGTGCTGCTCATCTGCGGCACCTACATGAACCTGTACGCCGCGGACCAGCTGGCGCAGGAGCCGGCGTCCGTGGCGCCCGTGCCGCAGCTTGTGACGTCACGGGCCGCGCCGCTGCCCGCGGTGGCCAACACCACGCTCAAACACGGTGTGTGCACCGCCCGGCGCTGCGAAGACTGTGGTCGCCGACGCACTAGGAATGTGGGGTCTGAGGGAGGGCGTTCAGCGGGTTGGTCAATCTAGCTGAAGCATTACGTCCTTCTTTGCCGGTCTTCGTTGCAGGCTTTAAAGGGAACGTTTGATATTTGAAGACGTTGAAGCAAACGCCCGATGTGATAAAATAAGCTCACTTACAATTATTGGTATACCGTTAAGTGGAAAAGACTGCTATAGACAACACAATCCTCTGTCAAGTAAATCCGCTCCTCAATACGTCATTGTTTAATTATGTCATCGTACCTTGTGCGACATTGATTGAGAGCCAAATTTTGCTTATGAACGCCAGACATGAACGACTCGAAAATAACATTTTTGTGACCTTATTATGATGCCATGGATGCCTGGGTGACCTTGAAACAGTCTCCCCGAAATATCCCGCGTATCTTCATATCTTTGAAATACGCGTAAGAGATACGCGTAGCCGCGCATCTTTGAGCGTGTAGCTAAAAAACTAGAGGGGCTTAGGTCTTTAGAAGGGCAGGGCTGTGAACTACACTAAATGATCGTTAAGATGGCTCTTTCAGTTCAAAACCTCACACAAATGTTGAGCACTCCGTGTAACCTGGTGTCTGTGCCTTCAACTCCTACCGGAAGTTCCAAGCAGGAGCTGCTGTCATATGTTGCGTCGGTCTCGATCATTTCACCGCCTCACCAAACATGGCGCTAAAACAAAAACAAGACATGGCCAGTCTCTCATCGCAGTGTACATGGGTTCACTTTCGAAAATCTTTGGGAGGAGATGCACCAGTACAGTTAATTGACGTGTGGACGGCGACATCGACTCCGTCCCTGCGTTTCCTGACGCGGTCGTTCGTCTGACCCGGGTCCGCCGCCGTTTTGCAGACGCCGTGGGGGAGACGCCGCTGGTGGCGGCGGCCATTCCCGGGGCTGAGGAGGTCCGGAAGGAGCCTGCCGTGCCGGAGCCGCCGGCGGACGGCGGCGCCGAGCCCCAGGAGCGCGGCGCCGAGCAGCCGGAGGCGGCGGAGCGGCAGGCGAAGGCCGGCGGCCGCAAGGCGAAGAGCCGCGACCGGAAGCGCGAGGACGTTGGCGAGAAGCCGAACGACGCGGGCCGGAAGAAGAAGGATGCAGGTCGGAAGGCGGAGGACGTAGACCCGAAGGCGGAGGACGCAGATCCGAAGGCGGAGGAAGGCGAGCAGAGGACGGAGGGCGGTGACCGGCTGGACGCGGGCGCGCTGAAGAAGGAGGAGGAGGAGCGCGAGAGAGACGACGCGCTGAAGGCCGCCGACCCTCAGAAGAAGGAAATCGAGGCCAAGCAGGAGCAGGTGCTGCAGAAGCTGGAGGAGACCCACAAGGAGCAGAAGGAGCTACTGAAGGAGCAAAAGGAGCTGCTTAAGGAGATGAAGCAGCAACGCTCTGCCAAAGAGTTGGAGCGGAACGCCGGTGTTCCGGACAATGCGGGTGTGGATGTTCAAGCTGGAATACAGCAGCCTGTAGCCAACGTTGGAGTGCAGCAACCTATGGCCAACGCTGGAGTTCAGCAACCTATGGCCAATGCTGGACTGCAGCAACCTATTGCAAATGCAGGAGGACAACAACCTGTGGGTAACGCTGGAGTACAGCAACCTATGGCCAACGCTGGAGTACAACAACCTATTGCAAATGCTGGAGTACAACAGCCTATGTCCAGTGCTGGAGTGCAGCAACCTATGGCCAATGTGGGACTGCAACAACCTATGGCCAATGCTGGAGTACAACAACCTATGGCCAATGCTGGAGTACAACAGCCTATGGCTAATGCTGGAGTACAGCAACCTGTGGCCAACGCTGGAGTGCAGCAACCTGTCATCAATGCTGGAGTACAGCAACCTATGGCCAACGCTGGAGAACCACAACCTGTGGCTAACGCTGGAGTACAGCAGCCTATGGCCAACGCTGGAGTACAGCAGCCTATGGCCAACGCTGGAGTACAGCAGCCCATGGCCAACGCTGGAGCACAGCAGCCCATGGCCAACGCTGGAATACAGCAACCTATGGCCAGTCCTGGAGTACCACAACCTATGGCCAACGCTGGAGTACAGCAGCCCATGGCCAACGCTGGAGTAATGCAGCCTATGGCCAACGCTGGAGTACAGCAACCTATGGCCAGTCCTGGAGTACCACAACCTATGGCCAACGCTGGAGTACAGCAGCCCATGGCCAACGCTGGAGTACAGCAGCCTATGGCCAACGCTGGAGTACAGCAGCCCATGGCCAACGCTGGAGTACAGCAACCTGTGGCCAATGCAGGAGTACAACAACCTATGGCCAATGCAGGAGTACAGCAACCTATGGCCAATGCAGGAATACAGCAACCTATGGCCAATGCAGGAGTACAGCAGCCTATGGCCAACGCCGGAGTACAACAGCCTATGGCCAACGCTGGAGTACAGCAACAGAACGTGGTTGGGATGTCTGGCCAGCAGGTCGCCGGCCAGCTCGTAGCTCAGCAACAGCAGCCGGCTATGCCAAACCAGCAGCCGCTGTTTCGGAGCCCGAATCAGCAGGCGGGCTCCAACGAGCTGCCGATGATTCAAAGTCAGCAGCCGAACCAGCAGGCGGCGTGGATTCACCAGCAGGTGATGTCACAGCAGCAGCAGCAGCAGCAGCAGCAGCAGCCGGTTCAGCAGCAGCAGCAGCAGCAGCCTGTTGGCGCGGCTGGACCAGCACCGGCGCCTCCTCCTGTACCAGCTGCTGACAGCGGAAACGGCGATCGCAAATTTGTGAGATTTCCTTTCGCCTAGTTCGCCACCTATTTGGGCTTTAATCTTCAGTGTATTTGAGGCAAGGTTGTTTGCTTTCCAAAGTTTTCAACGGTTTTTCAACAGTGAGTGTCGTATGGGTGATCACTCGCCGTGATGCTTTAGATAAGCAAGCGTGAAGCGAGAGTAACGTTTTGCAATGCTTCGGCAACAAGATAAGGTAGCAATGCTGTATGACACGCTCCTCCGTCCTAACAATCAGGCAAGTATTGATCGTATCTGCAACTAGAGTCCACATTTCAACAAAGCACGAGCGACTTTTCGTAGACCTTCGTATGGAATTGTTGCCAGTCCTGCTGCCATCTGTCGACGATGTTATCGAATCACACCGTGTGATCCCGGCTGGCCGCAGCAGCACTCTTGGCCGTGGCTGCAACCATCATGAAAATCATTATCATGTTTCGTCATGAATCATTCAATATCCATGGCTTAATGTTTGACTCCGGTCAATGGGTTTCGTGCTGTACGATAAAAAGGAAGACGCGACAACGGTAAAACACCAAGAACGTAAAATCCGCTCACAAGCAAGTTCTAGCATCTGGGTCACATTGGTAAAGTGTGCACGTGAACAGAGCATAGCTCAGGGAGCTACAATGGTTTCAGGACGAAGCAGCGCATTGCGACAATGCCCTGCGCGTTAATCTTAGTCTTTCACGCAGTTTTTCTGGCTGCCTGAGCTGGAACTTGCTGACCAATGTTGAACTGCAGCAACCTATGGCTTGCTCCAGAAAGCGGGCAGTCCCGGAGCGACGACCACCGCCGACCTCGTGACGCGCTAACAGCGGTGCGAGGGGTGGACAGCGACCGGACCGCCACGGGAGCACAGGGGTCATTAGGGCTTTGAAGGCGCCAATGGGGTCACGGTGTGGAACAAGGTCACTCATGCCACATCAGCTTAACGCCTACAAGACAGGCGAAATGTGATCTGGGCCACGCGCCCACAGATAATCCGGGCCGCGAAATTCGGCCTTGTACTCGGCATAGAAAGCGAACCGCGGCCACGTCCCAGACTTAGAGGCAGTAAAAGATGAGAGGAGAAACATGGGCTTCGATTAGGAGTTTATGGGTGTGAAAAAGTGATAAATCTGATATCACTTTAGACAAAATAGGATGGATTTACACTTTTTAGCAGTTTGGATATGATTCTCCCAGCGCCGCATATAGTCGAAGGTAACTCCCATCTTTACGGACGCTGCTGAGGGTGGTATGGAGTTGGAGCTGTTGAGAGCAGAGGATGATGGCTTTGCTGGTCTGGGGTACCCATTCGCTGGTCGACGATGGCTCGTTCGAGCCGCCCTCTTTCTGACTGTGCATGTTGCACAGGGCGTTTCCTTATCATGAGGCGTCGTCCCGTAACCGCCCGCCACCAGCCATTGTGGCTCCCCAGAGCCATGCAATGTGTTTGTCGAGATTTTGCTATTGTGATATCGAAGATAATGTTTGCGCCGATGCGTTTTTCTTACGTCCTCGGGGCGTTTTCGCCGTGGTTGCCTCATTGTTTTTCTCCCGTAACATGCAGCACATTGCCTCGAATCAAACACTAAGCCATATATTTAGAACAATTCGTACTAAATATATGATGACGATGATCACCTTGGTGGTGATGGCCGGGCAGCCGGAATCCGCTTCGGCACGCGGCGAGCGCGCGGGGTTATTGGAAAACTCGTTGACAGATGGCAGCAGAAGTGACGGATTCCGTGGGGAAGATCTGCAAATAGTCGCGCGTGCATGGCTACCCGCTCCCAGCAAGTTCCCAATGAACTAAAACCGTGTTCGTCAGCGTAACTTACAGTGCTGGCTCTCTCACCAGATGTCTCTGCCGGCTGCGCAGCCGCGGGCGCGTCGTGACGCCCCTGAGCCTTCGCCGTCGCCCCCCGACGAGATGCTGGTGCGTTTGGCCGAGAACTGGGCCGCCGTGGAGGCGGCCGGCTCGCGTGGCGCGCGGTAGCAGCCGTCGCCGCTGTGAGTGGCAGCGGGGGCCAGCGCCAAGGAGGCAGCGGCGCCGGGGGAAGTGGACCGACGGGCCAGTGGAAGCCGCACCGGCGGACCTCAGTGCGCGGTGATTGTCCTGGTGCTGGACGCGGTGCAGCAGTGACGCGTCTGCGACCTCGCGGGGATGTGGGGTGTTTGTGTGGGGGTGAGGAGCGGCCAGTGCCGGGGCGCCTCGTGCGGTGTTATGGCTCTGCGCCCCTGGGCCGGCCTGGGGGGGGGGGGGGGATGATGTGAAGCGTTTCAAGGCGGACGCCAGGCCGGGCCGGGACCTGGTGGACGGAGATGGTGGGCGGTGCTTGCGCGTGCTGATCACGATGACGCACTGTCTGCGTGACGGGTCTCGTGACAGCTGGAACTGGTGCGCGTTTTGGGCACCGTTGCAATGACATGTGTTTGTGTGGGGGGGGGGGGGAGGGGGGAATTGCACAGTGAGCGCTGGCAGTGATAGGTATGACCCGGAACAGCTGTCTGACCCCATAGGCGGTAACACGGCTCTGAGTACGTCAGGGCCTGACCCGCCACGAGGTGGAGTGTCAGGTGGGCCATGCCAGGAGGGTCCTGACCCTCCGCGGTGACATGGGATATTTTCGGTGTTTTGAAAATTGGTTTAAGCAATTGTGCGAATGAGAATGACAGATGAGCATGCTTTTCGCTGGACTTTTGGGGTTCAGGGGTTAGAGTCAACTGGAGTGTATGTTATTCTGTTTTATATTGCGTCACAAGCAATGCGAGTGAAGGATACAACTGCGCTTCTCTCATCAAAGTGAGAAACGATTGGTCTCGCTGGCTGTTCGTTGGCTGATCTTTCGAACAGAATTTTACCTCTTTCGAACAACGCAATTTTGCAAAATCATGCTTGTCGCTCATGCTTGCGTCTCTCGTCTCACGTCCCGCGTCTCACGTCTCTTGCCTCGTCTCACGTCTCGCGTCTCACGTCTCTTATCTCGTCTCACGTCTCACGTTTCTTCTCTCGTCTCGCGTCTCGCGTCTCGCGTCTCGCGTCTCTCGTCTCACGTCTCTTCTCTCGTCTCTTCTCGCGTCTCGCGTCTCACGTCTCACGTCTCACGTCTCACGTCTCGCGTCTCCTCCACACGGTAAGGAGGACAGGAGGCCAGTGGACGTCGTTCCGCGCTAGTGTTTGGGTATTGACCGCGTGTGACGTTTGAGTTCTGATCGCACGCTACGAATGAACATGGGTTGCGGAGCGCCAGTGGTGTTGCCAGGACTGGGGGAACCCAGGTAAGCCGTGGGGGAAAGATCGGAACCAGCGTTCTGTCAGTTTACGCGAATGCAACACATTTCGTCGTTTTTCCTAATGCCAATTGGCCATTACCACGCCATGTCTGCGTAAGTCGACGGCAAAAATAACGCCTTATTAAAGATCATTGATTGCAGACAAATTAGTTACAAGCCGCGCGCCTTTTAAATGACAGATCTCGGCGTCTGTCTCAGAACTAAATCCTACATAGAACCAATCATGGTTTGTCAGACCCAAACTGCGAGCTGTGAAATAAATATTGCGGATTGGGCCACTGGCTAAGCGAGTCATAGCTGGACTCCGAGATATTTTCAACCGGCGTGGCCCAGCCAGTTCTAGCCAAGCCGTTGTGCTTTTATGAAATTGTAAATCTTTAGAACCACTGATTGCAGGTTTGCACAGTTTTCAGCAATAACAAGCGCAGTTCTTCAAAAATTGCGCGGTGTGAATAATGAACAGCTTGACATTTGTATGCACGTGGCTTGCAGAGGCGGGGTTTTCCTTCAGCATTGCATTATGGCCGCAATTTAATTTCTCGATTCGACTAACGCGAAGAAGGCAAAATCCTCGGCTTCAAACTTTCGCGAGAACGTGCGTCGAAAGCGAGTCTGGACGTCGTTAACCCGTCACTGCAGTGATGCGAGACTAGTCACGAAGTCTGTGTCTCTGTGTCGCCTTTCGGCACAGTAGGCGTAAAGGTTAAGCAGCCGAAGAGGTTAAGCATATGTAATGGGCAGCGCAGGCCTGCAATTCCCAGGTCAGTCAAACACGAAAGCAGCGTGCTCGTGAACACATGCCCAGGCGCGGCAACCCACAACCATCCAAAAGCTCGGAGCCTGATCGAACCTGCCACCACGCTGTTATTATTTGCTGTTTAGATTTGAGACCTTTCGGCAAGCCATGGCCGTTTCAGGGTCATGGGATGAAGCGGGATTGATAGCGGCGGGGCAGAACTGCATGCACGTGGACTCATCCGCCGAGGCTTTTCCTGCACAGGAACCCCTCTGCGGGATGTGTGCTCGGCGCTCGGGACCGCTGCTCCACCTGGCGGCGCTTCTGTCCTTTCATCGCTGACGCGTCAACCTACCCCGGACGAGCGGGGCGTCGCGAGGATGCAGAAGAAGCATGAAGGATGCGAGGACGGATGTCCACCACGCCCCTGCCATGTCTACGTATTTAACTTGACAGCTACCAGCTTCCAAATAATCGCGCAGAATAACCCGCCAACAGAGTGTGCTTCCCTACACATTGCGGGTGATAGAACAAGGCATCGCTCACCCTAGATGGCAGCACACGACAGCCCTTACCCTGGATGGAAACACTTTGTGGGGCGACAAAGCACAATTATCAGCAATTATTATGATCACGAACGAGGAAACGAGCCATCGTGCCTGTAACAGTGCGGGACGTTCGGTGCAGAAAGACGTGCTACTGTTTGCATACTGCGAATCCGCTGTTTTGGGACGTTTTTAAAAGAAATGATTCACATTTGAAGATATTGGAGCAGGCATCGGACATAATAAAAAAGCTCACTTATAAACCATTGGTATACTTTCTAAGTAGGAAAGACTGCCCTAGACAACACAAGTTCTCTTTTAAGTAAATATGCTTCTAAACAAGTCATCGTTTGATTGCGTCATCGTGTACATTGCACGGTGTAGGCAAATAGAGCCGCTGCAAATGATCTCAATGGAAATGATCTAAAAGCTGTCCCATTGGTGCGTGTGCCAGTAATTGACCAAGAAGAGACCAAGGGCACCTTCTCTCAGATCCGTCCCGAATATGAGATGCCTTGGCTTAAACAGGAACTAACTGTACCATGAAAAGCAAACAACTTTACCGTCGTGTTCGCTGTGACCAAAAACCACCTACATCTCTCCTTTTTTCGTATTACCAATGCCACAAGTTTGAGAGCCGCACGTTATTGCAATTCATCGCGGTCGTCGGCTAAGCTTGTCAAACCTGAGTGGGCTCAACGTCCTGTGTGCCAAGTACGGTTATCCGGTGAGTCGACCACCAAGTCACGTGATCTTGTGACGTCACCATATGTCTATGATGTCGGCGTCGGAACTTCGCTTCGAGGTGCGCAGGATTTATCTGATTGGACAGGATTTGATATTTGTTTAAATAATAAATCGTTCTAGTCTAGACCAGTCTAACAGAATAGAATGCTGAAATGGTAACTGAGGAGCGCGAAATAGCCTTAGTAGCCCGGTGCGCTCGTAAAAAACGCCAAGGATCTTCATGAATCAGTGCCTGAACGGCCCCCAACGATGGGTGCGTTGGGGGCGTCCAGAGTAAGATGGCCGCTGTGTATTTTGAGTCTATCGATATTTTTTCATCGCCATTGCCTCACACTTGCGAGATGCTCATTCCACCTCCTCCGTCCATCGCGTGCACCATTCTGCGAGGCGAAGAGCGTAACACAGAACCACGTAACCGCGAGCGAAGTAACAGAACCATTGCGAAAGCACGTGACATGCGCGGGTTTCTCCCTTCCACGGTGGCATAGCGTCCGTTACCTCACGCACATTTAGCTTCATAACGCTTTAAAAAGATGCTGATCAACGACGGTATAATGGCAGTACAGCTGGTTTCGAAATTTCACAGCAAATTTTCATTTGCTTCCTCGTGTCAAAATATCGCTAAACGCTAAACAAATATTCACTATTTTAACAAACATTTGCGCAAAGCAGACTGCGAGCTTAGTAAATGCATGCTATTGGTCGTAGCGTCCGTCCCGGTGGCTTAGTTGGTTAGAGCGCCTGCCTCCCGATTCACCCACCGTGGCGGGAGGGGTTCGAGTCGCTTTAGGGCGCTCGCTATTTGCCCTTGACAGGTATGGCCTGCGGCCGGTGGCAGCGGTCGCGCTAAAGGTCAGTTGACGTCAGAGGGCAGGACGGATCGTGCTGAGCATTGCGGCACGTTAGCTTTCGCCACAAAATTCTGCCGTTGACATGGAATTGCGCGATCGGATGGTAGGGGTCAGGGCTCACACAACAAGCACTGCTTAGCGTGAGCTCTGATCCCGGAAATCCATCCATTCAAAGGCTTCGGATCAAATCTTAAAAAAGTGGTTCGGAATAAAGCAAATCGGGAACTCAAACAAAAGCCATGAAGCGGAAGTTAGCCGTGTTAGCGCAAAAGGCGCGATTTACCTACCCCGCTTTTGCATGCTTTCATATTTTTGACGATTTTCCCATCAAACTATAGTTTCGTGCTGCAGCGTGCGATGCTATGTTGCAGCCTTGGATCAAACGTTTGGCCCAATACTCTTACCACATGTTCCTTCCCACTTCTGATCATTAAAGCCAGAAAGATTGTCATGAGATTTATGCAGCAGGCTATTGGCAATAACGACCGACTTTGATTTTAAATTGTTTTATCATGAGGGTAACAAAGCCACGGCTATTCTAGATACGGCTGGGCATCGTGCGTCAGCTGGCTAACTTTGCCAAGACTGGATTTAAATCAAAATGGCGCTAGTACTCACTTTGTTGGCGGCTAATTGAGTAAGAGGACAAAAAGACGAAACACAAAAGGCGAAGAGCGAAACTGAGATGGCAAACAGGTCATATCATAAAAAGTCAAATGGCAAAAGGTTAATCAGGATGAAAGTGGACTGCAAGAGGCAAAAAGCCAAACAGTCAAAAGGACAGAAGTCAAATGGCAGAAGTCAAAAGAATAAAATCGAAATGCAAAAAGTCAAACAGCCTGATG